CTTCCCCATTTCTTGTCCCAGTGACAGCCCCCCTCCACCTTCCCCATTTCCTGTCCCAGTGACAGCCCCCCTCCACCTTCCCCATTTCTTGTCCCAGTGTCAGCCCTCCCCTTCCCCATTTCTTGTCCCAGTGACAGCCCCCCTCCACCTTCCCCATTTCTTGTCCCAGTGACAGCCTCTGACCCCACCTTCCCCATCTCTTGTCCCGGTGACAGCCTCCCTCCAGCTTCCCCATTTCTTGTCCCAGTGACAGCCCCCCTCCACCTTCCCCATTTCTTGTCCCAGTGACAGCCTCTGACCCCACCTTCCCCATCTCTTGTCCCGGTGACAGCCTCCCTCCAGCTTATCCCCATTTCTTGTCCTGGTGACAGCCCCCCTCCACCTTCCCCATTTCCTGTCCCAGTGACAGCCCCCCTCCACCTTCCCCATTTCTTGTCCCTGTGACAGCCCCCTCCACCTTCCCCATTTCATGTGATGGGATTGTATTCATAAAGCACGGCTACAATTATGGATAAGGAAGCAGCAATCAGTTTGACACCAAACGTGCCTATGTTATAATGTACAGCTGGTATATTGGTCACATCAAATCTATTAAGTGATATGGACATTAGACATGTGCGATTCTTTTCGTTCCGAATGGAAATTCGGACGAAATTTTGGATATTCGGATGTATCCGAACTACAGATATAACGAATGCAAACGAATCCGAATTTCCAATTCCGAAATTCGTTAGCGGTAGTCTGGACGAAATTTCATTTTTTGGACGAACTTTCTTTGCAGCAAAGTGACATTTGAGAACAACAAAACGTTTTTGTTTTCCCTCTTAAATGTCACTTTGCTGCAACAAACGAACGAAACGAAATTTCGTACGGATTACCGCTAACGAATTTAGTCCCAATCCGACGATGCTCCGCAGCAGGCGCTGATGTGCGTCAGACATGTGTGTACAAGAACTGCACAGGCATCTGTGTCATCTATGAGCCACCATATCAGTACAGGAAGTAGATGGTGACCCCGGGTGATGGCTGAACAAAGATGGCTCTGTGCTTATGGAGAGAAAAGCTGATGAAGGCGCATGAATTTGGCTGTTCAGCATTACATGATATCTCGGCATTCTAAATGATCTGTTTTGGGGGGCGGTTTTCAGCGGGCCCCTCCGTATTTTTACATAAATATTCTTTAAATGTTAATAATTGACATGACTCTATTTGTAGTTTATGATCGGAGTCTTTGGGCCGTCTTGTGTCTATTATACAGATTTATATCATTTTATTGACATTGTTTGTTATGTTGATATAAGCGCTGCGGCGGCGGCGAGCTTTTATCACTGTATTATGTAACGCTCCTCTGCTCGGCTTAAAGGATTTTTTCCCCGGACGGCATTCTTTTATGCCCGGCAATGTTTTGTGTCTTCGTGCAATCCTCTTCAGAAGGTCAGATGTCATTATTGACTCGCAGAAAGTCCAAAGTGGTGACATTTCACTGTCTGCTGACATAATGGGCTTTTGTGTCCGGGCTTATCTGTCCTCCAGAGAGCCTTTAGTTTATATTCATCCTTCCCTGGCAACAGTTACATGGAGACGTCCCCCCCCCCAAAAAAAAGCCCTTTGACCCTTGTCGGCCATTTTGTCTCATGCTCAGCCCTGAGGGACAGTCCCTGGAGGTTTCTTGTCCCTGAGTTTGAAGACTGGTTTGGAGACTTGGGCTTCTATCACACGGCCATTCCTTCACTTCTGACTGCACTACGTTCCTCATGGGCGGTTGGATGTAAGAGGACCCGTGTCCACCTATATCCAGGGCCAGATTTCCCACAAGGCCAACCAAGGCCTGGCCTTGGGGCAGCAGGGAGTTGAGGGGCAGCAGGGGTGTGGAATTCCTATCCCCCAATGCCCGGGACATGCAGTTCCGGGCGCCGGGCGGGTAGTTGTTTTCTACATTTAGCCCGGCTTTGGGCAAGCAGAGCTAAATGTACAGCGGGTAAGCCACCGCTTGTTTTGTATGCAGCCTGCAGGTCTGCCATTCTCCATGGGGGGGAGCACCTTTTTGGCGGGTAGAGGGGGCGCATTGAGGAACCTGGCCTTGGGGCAGCAGAGAGAGTAAATCCGCCCCTGCCTATATCCGCCCACTTCCAGGTCTGGTGGACAAAATGCAAAACGTTTGCTTCCATGTCCACTTTTACTGACCTGCCTGGAAGTGCATGGACATAGGTGGACGCAGCTGCCCATGGACATCCGGCTACCCATAATGCTTACATGGGCCCGTTTTTCCTCCATCCGATAGTGGAAGAAAAAATCCCACTGGACATATTTGTCTCTGTTCTGACTCATCTCAGCAGGGCGCTCCTGGCTGCCTGAATACCCAAACCGTGACTTATCTGATTGGATGCAGTCATTGCTTGGCCAACTTTTTTCCACTCGGCTCCTTCAACCCGAATTTTGACCAATTTAGCAGAATTTGGCTGTGGATGGCCAGCATAATTCTAGACACCATAAAGTGCTTATGAGGGCAAGATCTGATTGGATGCAGTCATTGTTTTTCCAACAATTTTCCACCCAGCTCCTTCTATTTTTCAGCTGCGTTTTGAGGAGTTGGGTGGTGTCAACAAGGTCTACCATGACTTGACTTTTGTCCAATTTAGAGGGAATTGGCCATGGATGGCCAGCATAATACTAGACATCATAAAGTGCTTATGAGAGCATAATCTGATTGGATGCAGTCACTGTTTGGCTAACCATTTTCCACCTGGCATTTTTGGATTTTTCTGTTAAGTTTTGAGGAGCTGGGTGGTGTCAACGGGGTTTCTCAAATTCTGTCCAATTTAGCGTGAATTGGCCGTGGATGGCCAGCATATTTTTAGACACCTTAAAGTGCTTATGAAGGCAAGATCTAATTAGATCTGATTGGATGCAGTCACTGTTTTGCCAACAATTTTCCACCTTGCTCCTTTGAGTTATTTACTTGACTTTGGTGGAGGTAAATGGTGCCAAATTTTGTCCATTTCGCAGGAATCTACCAACACCTGACTCCTTTTATTTTTTAGTTGACTTTTGTGGTGCCAAATTTTGTCCAATTTATCAGGAATTGGCCAAAATTCAAGACATGGGCAACCAACATATTTCTAGACCCCAGAGAGTGCTTAAGAGGGCAAGATCTGATTGCCCCCAGGCACCTGTTTTGGTGTTATAATGGCCAATCTATTGTCTACAGGGATGTGCCCTACAGACACCTCCAGTATTACCTTGTTCTTATGATGGAAAATATAGTATTGATCAGACATGTTTCTCTTAATTGGGCAATTATTATACCTCCAATGGACTATGGTTGGTGTTGGCTGTGGGCATCTCATATCTAAATCTGTCTGAAATGGGCCATTTAGTGTTTATAAGCACCTAAGCTGATCAGATGATATACATGTATGTGGACTGTTTAATCTGCCAAAGGATCCATAAATTTGTTCAGGCACCCCTGCCAGACAACACAGCCATGTCTGTGACCTCCACTGTGCCAGCAGCACAGCTCGGTCAAGAACACACCCACAGCCTGCTTATTGGACAGCAAAAGAGCATCAGTATGCTAATAAGGTTAATTTACCTCGCTCATCCTCCTGGCTGTCTCTGCTCACTCTTTCCCCTGGCTGTCCGCTCTCTCTCCTGGCTGTCCCTCCTCTATCTCTCTTTGGGGATGCATGCTGCATTGCTGTCTTGCCATTTCTAAATCACTGCCCGTACACCGGGAAACAGTTGAAGCTTACATCGGGCTAAATCATCAGTCTGCTGCAAGCAGGAGGAAGCATTTCCTCAGTCTCCTCTCCCTTACTGATCAGCATGTTCATCAGGGGTAGCCAAACTGCGGCCCTCCAGCTGTGGGGAAACTACAAATACTATCACGCATCTGCCTCAGTAGGCCATGGCTGCGGCTGCCAGAGACTTGCAATGCCTAATGGGACTTGTAGTTTCATCGCAGCTGGAGGGCCGCAGTTTGGCTACCCCTGATGCACATTGTAACCTTGTAGCCAATCACATGGTGAGAGGCTGCAGCAGGGGCCGATCTGTGTCAGGCATTTGTGAAAACAGGCTGCAGCAGGGGCCGATCTGTGTCAGGCATTTGTGAAAACAGCCAAGAACTTCACAAGGACCGGGATTGGAATGACTGTGCCATCTCAGTCCAGGAAGCATAAGATGACCATAGATGATACCTGAACAAAGATGGCGCTGTCCTTTGGGAGGAAAAAAAAAGCAGATAAAGGCATTGTCAGGGGGAGTGATCTCTGTGAGAGGAAATAAATACCTGGAAGTGTTACACTGACACGTTATTCATCATGCATGGACTTAACATGAGACGTATATCTGATGACAGGTCCACTTAAAGCGCAAGATTTTTCAGTCTCAACAAATTGTTTCATAGTCGAATGTTCTTACCTGCTGCTGCTGCTGCTGCTGAGCCCGTCCTTGGCACAGGCTCTGGCCCCAGGTGGTAGTCGTCAGTATCAGGTTCAGGGTCGCCAGGAGGAGAGCGGCGCCCCCTAGCGCCAGTGCCAGGAGCAGCAGCGGGAGGAGCAGAGCAGTCCGACCCGCCCTCCTCTTACTCCAGCGCGACATTGAGGTCACTCCGTCCCCTATAACGCTACATCCTCATCGCCAACTTGCCCGCCGATCCGCACACCACGGAACCTTATGGAAAAGGTCGCAGCCCGGTAAAGTGTTCGGCGCCGGTAATAGGTGACACAAGATACTTTGCAACACTCTCACTGGATGAGGAGGAACGATAAGTTTGCAAAAAGTTTTTGCAAGAAAAGTTTGCAAAATCCTAAAAAAAGAAACAAAAGCACAAAAAAAAGTCTTAAAAGTTTCAGAAAAGGAGGAAAAAAAAATTAAAGTGAGCGTTCCTCGATGTTTCCCAGCATGCCCGGCGCCGGTTCCGAAGGTTCAACCCTCTCGTTTCTCATCGGCATCCCGCGTCGAATGAATGAAGCAAAACCCGTAAGACAGCGGCCATCCGAAATTTAGAGGAAACAAAACTACCAAAAAATCCAGGACAGAAGTGCCAAAAACAAATTCTTTCCTATTCTCTAATTCCCATCAGACAAAAAGGTCCAGCTGCCCTGAGCCAAAGTGCGGCCATCTTGTACCTGATCCCCCCACGCACACAGCTAGAGAAGTCCCAGGACAAGTGTCGGACTCCGGAGGCCCTTCCGCTGCAACATGTGAACTGATTAGTGACGGAGTTTGGTTGGCCGGCGGGTCCACCGGCAGAGGTAGGTGACGGAGGGTGTCGGCGGCGGCTGGGAGAAGAGTTGGCTAAGAGAGGAACCCGAGGAGAGCGAAGAAGAAGAAGAGGAGGAGGAGGAAGGTCTGTTCTCAGCTGCTTGGATGTCAGCACGAGTGTTTTTCTGGTTCCTGGATTAGTTCCAGTGAAAGAAAAAAAAAAAAAAGAATGACAGGAAACAGAGAGGAGGGGAGGAGGAGAGGCGAAAAATAGAAGATGTTGGGGAGGGAGGAGAAAGAGAGAAAAAAAAGGGCGGAAGAGAGAAGACAGAGGAGAGGAGGGGAAGGGGGGAGACATGGCCGTGTGCACGGGCAGAGTTCAGGAGGAGTGAACTGTCAGCTCATGAGCAAAAGCAGACACCATGTTATAGGGGGCTCTTATCTACAATGTATTCACAGATACAGATACACTCCATGCAGATGTCATTCAGAGCTGTATTTATATATATATAAAAAAAGAATGTATTGTATCTTTAAATGCAGCTAACACAAGTACCCGAATCTGTCTGAGTATTAGACTCCTGTGCTGCCCTATACAGCAGACAGAATCAGGGATCTGCTGCTTTGTGCGGTGCTGGCAGGTAATATGTGATTATGCTTTCTGGAGAAGGTCCAATCACAGGCTGAGACGTGTCCTGGACCAGGGTAACTGTGCTAACGGAATATGCTTTGAGGAGGGGAGAGTAAAGGGATGACCTTATCAGTCTGCTGCTACTCCTTCCTTGTCCAGTCACAGGCTGAGATGTGTCCTGGATCAGAGTAATGTCCTAACGGAATATGCTTTCAGAAGGGGAGAGTAAAGGGATGACCTTATCAGTCTGCTGCTACTCCTTCCTTGTCCAGTCACAGGCTGAGATGTGTCCTGGATCAGAGTAATGTCCTAACGGAATATGCTTTCAGAAGGGGAGAGTAAAGGGATGACCTTATCAGTCTGCTGCTACTCCTTCCTTGTCCAGTCACAGGCTGAGATGTGTCCTGGATCAGAGTAATGTCCTAACGGAATATGCTTTCAGAAGGGGAGAGTAAAGGGATGACCTTATCAGTCTGCTGCTACTCCTTCCTTGTCCAGTCACAGGCTGAGATGTGTCCTGGATCAGAGTAATGTCCTAACGGAATATGCTTTCAGAAGGGGAGAGTAAAGGGATGACCTTATCAGTCTGCTGCTACTCCTTCCTTGTCCAGTCACAGGCTGAGATGTGTCCTGGATCAGAGTAATGTCCTAACGGAATATGCTTTCAGAAGGGGAGAGTAAAGGGATGACCTTATCAGTCTGCTGCTACTCCTTCCTTGTCCAGTCACAGGCTGAGATGTGTCCTGGATCAGAGTAATGTCCTAACGGAATATGCTTTCAGAAGGGGAGAGTAAAGGGATGACCTTATCAGTCTGCTGCTACTCCTTCCTTGTCCAGTCACAGGCTGAGATGTGTCCTGGATCAGAGTAATGTCCTAACGGAATATGCTTTCAGAAGGGGAGAGTAAAGGGATGACCTTATCAGTCTGCTGCTACTCCTTCCTTGTCCAGTCACAGGCTGAGATGTGTCCTGGATCAGAGTAATGTCCTAACGGAATATGCTTTCAGAAGGGGAGAGTAAAGGGATGACCTTATCAGTCTGCTGCTACTCCTTCCTTGTCCAGTCACAGGCTGAGATGTGTCCTGGATCAGAGTAATGTCCTAACGGAATATGCTTTCAGAAGGGGAGAGTAAAGGGATGACCTTATCAGTCTGCTGCTACTCCTTCCTTGTCCAGTCACAGGCTGAGATGTGTCCTGGATCAGAGTAATGTCCTAACGGAATATGCTTTCAGAAGGGGAGAGTAAAGGGATGACCTTATCAGTCTGCTGCTACTCCTTCCTTGTCCAGTCACAGGCTGAGATGTGTCCTGGATCAGAGTAATGTCCTAACGGAATATGCTTTCAGAAGGGGAGAGTAAAGGGATGACCTTATCAGTCTGCTGCTACTCCTTCCTTGTCCAGTCACAGGCTGAGATGTGTCCTGGATCAGAGTAATGTCCTAACGGAATATGCTTTCAGAAGGGGAGAGTAAAGGGATGACCTTATCAGTCTGCTGCTACTCCTTCCTTGTCCAGTCACAGGCTGAGATGTGTCCTGGATCAGAGTAATGTCCTAACGGAATATGCTTTCAGAAGGGGAGAGTAAAGGGATGACCTTATCAGTCTGCTGCTACTCCTTCCTTGTCCAGTCACAGGCTGAGATGTGTCCTGGATCAGAGTAATGTCCTAACGGAATATGCTTTCAGAAGGGGAGAGTAAAGGGATGACCTTATCAGTCTGCTGCTACTCCTTCCTTGTCCAGTCACAGGCTGAGATGTGTCCTGGATCAGAGTAATGTCCTAACGGAATATGCTTTCAGAAGGGGAGAGTAAAGGGATGACCTTATCAGTCTGCTGCTACTCCTTCCTTGTCCAGTCACAGGCTGAGATGTGTCCTGGATCAGAGTAATGTCCTAACGGAATATGCTTTCAGAAGGGGAGAGTAAAGGGATGACCTTATCAGTCTGCTGCTACTCCTTCCTTGTCCAGTCACAGGCTGAGATGTGTCCTGGATCAGAGTAATGTCCTAACGGAATATGCTTTCAGAAGGGGAGAGTAAAGGGATGACCTTATCAGTCTGCTGCTACTCCTTCCTTGTCCAGTCACAGGCTGAGATGTGTCCTGGATCAGAGTAATGTCCTAACGGAATATGCTTTCAGAAGGGGAGAGTAAAGGGATGACCTTATCAGTCTGCTGCTACTCCTTCCTTGTCCAGTCACAGGCTGAGATGTGTCCTGGATCAGAGTAATGTCCTAACGGAATATGCTTTCAGAAGGGGAGAGTAAAGGGATGACCTTATCAGTCTGCTGCTACTCCTTCCTTGTCCAGTCACAGGCTGAGATGTGTCCTGGATCAGAGTAATGTCCTAACGGAATATGCTTTCAGAAGGGGAGAGTAAAGGGATGACCTTATCAGTCTGCTGCTACTCCTTCCTTGTCCAGTCACAGGCTGAGATGTGTCCTGGATCAGAGTAATGTCCTAACGGAATATGCTTTCAGAAGGGGAGAGTAAAGGGATGACCTTATCAGTCTGCTGCTACTCCTTCCTTGTCCAGTCACAGGCTGAGATGTGTCCTGGATCAGAGTAATGTCCTAACGGAATATGCTTTCAGAAGGGGAGAGTAAAGGGATGACCTTATCAGTCTGCTGCTACTCCTTCCTTGTCCAGTCACAGGCTGAGATGTGTCCTGGATCAGAGTAATGTCCTAACGGAATATGCTTTCAGAAGGGGAGAGTAAAGGGATGACCTTATCAGTCTGCTGCTACTCCTTCATTGTCCAATTACAATCTGGGCTTGTCTTGAACGAGGCTGAATTTCCTAACTTGTATGTATAGCTAAACCTTTTATTTCCCCCTGCTTCTCCATGACCGCCAACTGTGAGGCTGCTCCTGAAAACTGAATAGGACAGAAAAAGACGAAAAAGACTAAACAGCCAGTCCGAAAAGGTGCCATTTACAGATACTCTCTGGACACGTTCCCGTAGCCAGTTCTCTATCCACGTACACACCACCTCATCTATGCCCATAGCCCTCAGCTTGTGAAGTAAGCGTTTGTGTGGTACCGTATCAAATGCCTTTGAGAAATCGAGATATACCACATCTACCGGCTTACCTCCGTCCATATCTCTCTTACCCCCTCATAAAAAGTTAGCAAGTTAGTTAGCATAGGCTCCAGACTCACCAGAACTTTTAAGCATCTCAGTGTAGATCCACTTGTGATACAGCAGATAGTAATTGGAGTAACAGATGAGTAGGAGAGGAGTACAGATCCTCAGCAGGAGAGACCCTGAAGTTCTTTAGGTTCCAGGTACCTTCAAGAGCCATCCATTGTCCTGGTTCTCCTCCTCTGGTAGCAACACATGCCTCCTCCATATTGGAGGTCCCACACACCAGCCTCTGCCCACCGCCAGGCCTCAGGCCTAGCCTGGGGAGTAGCTGGACAGCATCCAGCACTAATGCATGGCTGGTCCCGACTAATCTGAGCACATGACAAATCCCTCCAGTATATGTACCCTATCCCAGCATGCACCACTGGTTGAGGAAACCCAGTGATTGGCTGCTTTACTGTACATATACTTACAGTGCCTCTCATTGGCTGTCCCACAATATAGCAGAGACACTCTCCACCCAGGGAGCTACAGTCAATGCCTGACACCTGGAATTAACCAGATAAATGCCAACTATAATCCAGCCAAGCTGACTACAGCCACGGCAATCACTAAATGTCTAGTAGCCACCTCACAGAAAGTGATGGGGGCTACACTACAAATAGAAATTCTAATGTATTGGAAGAGGTTGATGGAATCATTACATGCCCAGATGTACCTTTATTAAGGGGTGCTAGAGTCCGTAGATTGGTTGAAGTCCCTAACC